GGAGATCAGGATCGATTCTAGATACCGAGATTTAGCTGATACAGAGACGTGGTTATGAATGAAGCTCACAAGACTAGGTACTCCGTTCATCCAGGTTCGAATAAGATGTAACTAGACCTCATGAAACTTTATTGGTGGCCAAACATGAAAGCAGATGTCGTTATCTATGTGGGCAAGTGCCTAACTTGTGCCAAGGTCACGGTAGAATATCAAAAGCCTTCGGGTTTGTTATAACAACCAGTGATACCCGAATGGAAGTGGGAGCGGTTAATATAGATTTCATAACTAAGGTTGTCTTGACACCATTTGGGTAATCGCCGATAGGTTAACCAAATCTGCACTCTTCCTGACAACAATGGAGATTGACAATATGGAGAAGCTGACCAGAACATACATTAAAGAAATCATACAATTTCATGGTGTGCCAATATCCATTATCTATGATAAAGATAATAGATTTACTTCATTGTTTTGGAATGATAAGGACTTGTGTGATAGACTTTGGTAAAGCTTGGGATAACCATTTACCAGTCATCGAATTCTCGTACAATAACCGTTATAACAATAGCATCAAAGCTGCTCTATTTGAAGACCTCTATGGCCGCAAGTGCAGATATCCTCTTTGCGTGGCTGAAGTGGGTGACACTCAACTAGCAAAGCGACAAGTTACTAATAGCACCCTTACCGTCCCCGAGATCAAACGAGAAACTACACAGAAGATTATCCAAATTCAGGAACGACTAAAAGCATCTAGGGATCGACAAAAGAGTTATGCGGATAATTAACGAAAACCCTTGGAATTTCAGGTTCGTAACCGCGTCTTGTTAAAGGCCTCACCTTGTAAAGGAATGATACGTTTCAGCAAACATGGAAAACTAAATCGAATGTACATGGGACCATTTGAGATTGTTGTAGAATTGGCACGGTGGCTTACAAACTCAAACTACCGCATGAACTCAGTAACATACTTCCCACTTTTCATGCATCCAATCAAAAGAAGTGCCTGTCCGATAAAACTCTTGTAATCCCACTCGATGAAATCGAGATAAACAAGAGCCTACCCATCTTGGAAGAACCTGCAGAAATCATGGATAGGGAAATCAGGAGAACGAAACAAAGTCGTATGCCAATAGTGAAGGTTTGCTGGAACGCTAACTGGGAACCTAATTTCACATGGGAATGAGAAGACCAGATGAAACAAAAATACTCGCATCTTTTTCTTAGTCATTAATACCCAATTTAGAAATAATTTCTGGACGAAATTCCCTCTAACGAGGGGATAATGTAACAACCGGTTATTTTGGGTTAATAAAACCCAAACAAGTCAAACCAAAGTCAAGGCAAGTCGACTATGTCAAACAAAAGTTAAATAATTAAATAGTTCAAATTAGTTAATGAAAATTACTTTACTTTAAGGATTCTCAGTTTTTAGAATCAAAAACCCACCCACTGAGAACCATGTGGACCAAAAACTCCTTCGGGCCAAGAAACTCTGAAGACCGAAGACCTTGAGTTCTCGGTTCCCTTTTTGGACCGAAATCACAGTTTTTAGTTGGAACTCTTTAACCGAAATCGGTTGGGGATAAGCTGAGATCTCTAATTTTAGGCGGTGGCACACATTGCAAAGTCATATAATACATGTTCCAATGCACACGCCAAATCAATATTTCCACATATTTATATATGTTGGCCGAAATCAACATTCATAATCCCATATTCATCAGAAGTTTTCGTTACTTTTTCTATCAAAACCGATATATACATCTTCAAATCTTCATAGTTTTTCCTAGAATATCTTCATATCCTCAAACATACTCAAGAACACTCAAACGATTCCCAGGAAAAACCAAGTCCAACAATTAATTCTTAGGAATTATTTGGTAAGTTTTCCTTATTTAATCTAGTGTTGTCTAACACTTTAAGTGGTTATTTTACTGGTTTACATATAATATCATGTATAGATATTAATAGGATATAACTATTTACACGCGTTCTAACCCGAGGATCATCGCTATCACTTCATTATCCAGCCAAGAACACACCCGAGGTAAGTTCATACCCCTACAGTTTTAACGATTTTCCATCTTTTTAGGGGGAGGGGGGTGATACAAGTAAAACACAAGAAAAACTTGTGTTAAAAATACAATTTTTCTACGCATGCATACTTATATTTTTACGAGAATGCTAAAAATATACGAAACATCCTTATTACCAAATTTAGGATACGAACCGTTAAAATTTATATATTTATAAAATATAAATATACATTTGAGTTCAATACAACTTTAACCTTATTGTAAAAAGTCAAGCAAAAATGTTATAATTATATAAGCGAAAATGTTGAAGATTAAGTGTTGCGTCATTGAGCTTATTTTTTTGAGTCCATTTTGTATAAATTAGTTGGGCCTTTCCGCTCTTATTTACTGCTAGGGTTAGTATATAATTTTCATGCATGCTACGTATCTCGAACGAATCTTTCACTATTATTTTTGTAACCATACTTTCCGCCTCTACAGAAGTAATTCTTCATTGAGTTCTTCTGAGGCGTGACTATTAATCATTCATCACTTGTATGATTATATCGTGTTTTTGTTTTTCCCGCTTTAATCTATTCGATCATAAAGGATTTATTCCTATCAGAAAATATATAATTATTTTATTCTGATTTCTTATCATGACAAAAATTTGATAATAGTTTACAAAGGATCACATTTCAACGAAACATTTATATAAACTAAAATATGTATAGTGTATGGAACATGCACACTATTTTTTACTCGGTAGGGGTATATAAAATAATTATTTAAAAGAATAATTATTTTATTTTTCAATACTATGTAAACACTACGAAAAAGTAATACATACAAGCGTTACAAGAAAATAGGATTTCACTACACTATATATAAACCATTAATATAGCTTTGTGAGACACTATCTTCAAGTACTTATCTTAGTACCAACAAAAGTCTTGTGTTATAACCAGTGTCTCCTAGAGGAAGAATGTGACACTTGTGTACAGATCTATACAAGACTGACAATCCCGTATCGAAACTGTTAGCCACAGTTAGACCGGTATGTGTGTGGTGACAAATATCGTACTATTCCGATACCTGAAGAACGATGTAATAGGCCACCAGTCATCAAATATGGTTATAATAACTCACAATTGGGTATTAACAATACGTTTGGTTTAGAAATACAAACATATGTTCACTGGTTTTGTTCAACGATAGGACTATAGAACATTATTTTTCGAATATAATACAGTGTGAATTTCTGGAAACATACATTTCCAGGGGTTTTACAAAGATACAACTATCGAATATTATTTTCTGGGAACACGCATTACAATGGTTTTATATACATATAAAACGACACAATACTATTTTAAGTATGTAAAATACTTGTACACTTCGGTCTTAGAACATTTAAGTCTACATTTCATATTAAAGAATATATTTGATTTTTTGGAAGAACATACTATCATTTATAAAATATCGGATTTTCTGACATCTCACTCATACATTTTACAAGGAGAAACGATAGATTTTCTTACAAATACTTATAAAATCACCAACTTAAATGTTAACATTGTGAGCGCCATCCGCCCCCGAACTTTTCGGCCGTTCTGGTTTGGGGGTGTGCCATATTATCAAGTATACAAGAAGCAAGAGTATAGTTTATGATATAGATGTAATGATTTTAAGAAGTCCCTTTAATAATACAACTGTAGGTATATCTCTACATTGCTGTATTAATTTAATAGAGTAAACCATAAGAAATTTCACGTGGGGTTATGTTTTTTACAATAAACAAACCCAAAAAATATATACGAAAGAGACGGAATTTGCACTAAAAAATCATCAATCTACATGTATTTAACTTCTAATAGCTAACTTGTGTTCATGAAAAGTACTTGGACATTTTTTAGAAAAAAATTCTTATAGGAGCTCATTTAAATAACTTCAAAAACTCTATTATGTATCATGTTGTATTAACTATATCTAACATATGATGATAGAATATAAGAAAAAAATAGACAAAATTGCAAGTTTGGTCCCTGTGGTATGTCAAAAATTGGATGTTTGGTCCAAAAAGTTTTGGGGTTGTACTGGTGGTCCAAAAGCTTTGATTTGTTGTGGAATTGGTCCAAAGGCTTAACAGCCGTCTACCCCCTCCGTCTGTGTGAGGGTATTTTTGTCAATTCACGCTCATCCCTTTGATATCTTATTAAATTAAACCCCGCTAACGTCTACTCTCCTTATTAATAGATCGAACATGTGTTTCATCTTTTCCCTAAATCGATATCTCCTCCTGCTAAAATCAAAATCGTGTCTTCCAAACTCAAAATCAACAATGGTGAGGTGTTTTTGTGGTCAAATGGCGATAGTCCGAACGGCTTGGACTGATAAGAACCCTGGTCGACGTTTTTGGGGATGCCCTAAATAGGTTAGTATTCATGTGGTTGGTTATGAAGATTTTTCACTGATCACTCAATTCCTTCTTATATTTTGCTAGGATTCGACATGTGGGTTTGTGGGATGGATCGACCCTCAAATGTGTGGACGATCAAAATCAATAATACCTGGGTTGCTGAGATCAATCAACAAGCTAAAGACTGAAGTTGGAAAATTGAAGGAAGAAAATCAAATGTTCAAGTATGATATTGGAAAAATAAAGGAAGAAAAATCAAAACTAAAGTTGTACCTGATATGTAGCTGGGTTTTTTTTTGGGTTTGTTTTTTTTCTGATGAAGTAGTTCTTCCATGTTTTAGTGGTTTATTTTGTGGTAGATTTGGGAAAATTGCTATGTTTGTGAATGTACTCTTTTGGACATGAAAGTGAATGCATTGTTATGGTTAGTGGGTAATGAAGTTATTTGTTTCAAACATCCAAATATTTTGGTTCTACTAGACATAGCAGTGATGGGACAAACTGTTAATGCTTAACATAACCTAATAGTAACATAAAGATGCTAAAAAGTAAAGGACAATGATGCATAAACAAAAGAACATCCAAAGTTAATAACCATTGTTTGCACATACCAAATTCTTGTTACATGACCAAAAAAAACATCATTCTAAACGGAGGGTAAAGTTGTCCAAAAAACATCAAAACCATTAAACAGACACCCAAAAGAACAACACAATGGTTCCCAAAAGTAACACATTACATCATCTTAATCCAACAAGACAACACATCAATTTCCTCATTGCCCCTTACATGTTCTTGCATTATGTCCCTTGTTTTTACACTTGCTACAAGTGACAGTAATGAACTTCCTTGTGAGTTTTCCACTGCCCCCTGGACCATGACCATCTATACCACTAGCACCAATTGTTTGACTTTGACTTTGAGTTTGGCTCTGACTTTGAGATTTTTCCTCCATGGATCTTTGCCTCTTCTTCTTGGGCCTACCAGGCTGATTACGATGTGGAGGAGGGCTGATCTTTATTGGACAATCACTAACAGACCACATGATACGACCTTTGATTGGTTCTACCTTGTAGGAATAAGCCTCTTTCCAGGTTTCAAGCCAATGCACCTTGTGTACATAAGTGTAAAGTTCACCCACATCCACACCATTATCAGCTTTATCAAATAAGACTGCAATCACATGCCTACAAGGAATTCCTGTTAATTCCCATTTCCTACAGCTGCATACCCTTTGGCCCATGTCAACAACATGTTGATCTTGCCATGGTCCTTGTACTTCATACTTGTCTGAGGAATTCCACCTGGCTATGTAGTTAGAAGCATTTGTTGTGTTTGTTTCCATGATCTTTGTTGCTGTTGGAGTCAATGGACCTGCACACTTCTGTTGAACCTTTATCACATTGCAAATCCTCTTCATCATGTACTCCTGAATGTACTCTAAGCATGTGATTATTGATTTATCCCTACCTTCTATCAGTTTACTGTTAAACACTTCACATAGGTTATTTAAAAGCAAGTCTGTGATTGGTCTACCTGCAAGATAATTGTTATTTAGAACAGCATACAACAAATTTGTGTAACTTAGCACTGAATTGAGAGTTATCTACCTGTGAAATGGCTTCTAGCCCAATGTTGTGGTGGGATCTTCTTCAACCATTCATAAGCTTCTATGTCATATTCACTAAAATCTTTCATCAAACGATTGAATTCTTGCACTGTTGTGGCTTTGGCACAGTTCCATAACTTTTCTTTGTACTCAGTAGTTCTCCATCTCTTCCTCATGTTTTCATAGATATGTCTAAGACAGAATCTGTATTCAGCAACCGGGAACAATTGTGCAATGGCTGGAATTAAGCCCTACAAAGTCATTAAACTGTGGTTAGTATAATACAAGTGTAATAAGAAAACTAAAATACATCAAGGAAATCTATTACCTTTTGTCTATCACTTATGAAAGTGAAGTTTGAAAGTTGTGACAGGTCCAAATCATCTCCCAGGTACTCTAGAAACCATTTCGAACTTTGTGTGCTCTCAGACTCAACAATGGCGTATGCCAATGGGTATATACCATTGTTAGAATCTAAGCCAACTGCAGTCAAGATCTGCCCTGGGTAAGCTCCTTTCATGAAGGCCCCATCTAAACCAATAAAATCCCTTAAGCATGCATTGAACCCCTTTTTCATTCCACCCAAGCAAATATAAATTCTCTGAAAACATCTTGAAGTTGCATTTACAAGATTTGGTTCTGGAACCAGTTCCAGTTTCACAGTTGTGTCAGGATTTGTGGACTGCAACTCTAATATGTAATCTCTCAGCACATCATATTGTTTTGTGTAGTCTCCCATCACATGTTTTTTGGCATCTGCTATAGCCCTAAATACCTTGTCTTTGGAGAAGCTCACCTGATATCTTTTCTGAAGTAGTTCTTGTACAACTTTGATTGGCACAGTTGGGTTAGATTCCACTAGATCCATAATCTGTTTAGAGATGAAGTTTGCTGTGGCCGTTCTTACCTTTCTTGTATTGAGACATGAATGCTCAGGTTGGTAGGTGTTCACACACCAACTTTCTTCCTCACTTTTCCTAGATGCTTGTAAAACCCACTGACAAGATAGTTCAGTACTTGTCTTTGTCTTTTTACTTTTGCCTTTACTTTTCTTCCCAGTGGTAGGTCCATCCACTTGCCCCTCATTGAATACTACTTTTCCTTTGCATGTGGCCCGCAACCTAAGTTTATCATTTTTCTTAATAAAAAGATTCTTCCTGGTTTCCAAGGCATGATGGGCAATTTTGTCTTTCAACTCTTTTTTACTTTTATATTTTTGTCCTATACGAAATGTTGGTTTATGAACTTCTCCTAAAGAACACCTTTTTTCCTTACCTAATTCTTTAATAACTTGTCTTCTCTTCTTGCCCATCTCAGAATCATCATCTGTTGAATCCCATTCATCATTGTCAATAACATCCAACTCCATATCTTCATGCTCCTGATTTCTATCTTTCTCCATGTTATTCCTTAGTTTTTTCTCAAAAAAACTCTGCTTCAGTGTCAATGCTCATGTGGAAATCCCTCATATCCACTTCAACTTCAGGAATGATATTCTCCTCATCCACCCAATCACTATCCTCACTATCCTCACTGTTATTTTCCTCATCACAGTGACTACCCTCTCCCCTATCAGATATGCTCCCATCTTCTCCATCAGATTTGCTCCCATTGTCATGCTCCATTTCAGTCTCCATGTAATCATCCATGTTGTTGTCTATGTAATTATCCATGTAATTATCCAAGTTGTCTTCCATGGCAGCCTCATGTCCATGATCCAGTTCCACTTCATCTTGTACATTTTTTTCTACTTCTACTTGTGCATGTTCTTCTACTTCATCTTGAACATGTTTTTCCACTTCTACTTGTACATGTTCATGAACATCTGCATTTGATTGTAACATCTTTTGATACAAACCAATATCAAATTATGTAGCTACCTCCATAAAGTCATTGGCAATAAGCTCTTTTTGTCTATCATGAACCTCGACATGTAATGGTTGTACCTCAACCTCAACAGGGGATGATCTAGGTGGGCTTGGAAATTCTTGTACCTCAGCTGTGTGGTTTTCATTATCATCATTTTCATCTATTTCATCCATTTGTACAATAGTTACCTTCTTAACAGGTTTAGGATTCATAAAGTAGGTAAGTAACTTTGTCTCACCATGTTTAGTATATACCCTCATGATTTTGTGATCACACACATATTGGGCAAAAGTTCGTAAATTATCATCATTGCCTAAGGGTTTAAGACCAAAGTGGAAGTCTCCACCAGGCATAAGGAAGTGATAGTAAATCACAGGAGGAACACCGTACCTGAACCCTTTCATGATAGCATCCAACTCATGAACTGAAAACGTGTCTATATCCACCATGTCAACATAGTTCACACTTCCGTCAATGTATTGAACATCAGGAAACTTGGTGAACTCACCTCCATGGTATAGCTTGATGGTAAATAATGTTGGGTGGCCATCTTGAAACCAACAACAAAAATAAGTTCAGAAGCATGATTTCACATACAAAACATGTAATGTACAGAGAAATTACAAAATCCTTACCATAAGCCACCTTTGCGTTGAACGGTTTGTCTAAGAGCCTTATATTCCACATTGGTATGTTCATACACTGAAATAACACCGATCACAATAAAAAACTCAACTTGGAGGTTAGGGCTTCTGGGTAACGAATGAAGATGAAAGTGACAGGAGAGTCGATCGACGAAATGCACAGAGGATTTGGCGGCAGGTATCAATTAATTAGGATGATGAGGTTTAATTTAATAAGATATCAAATGAATGAGCGTGAATTGACAAAAATACCCTCACACAGACGGAGGGGGTAGACGGCTGTTAAGCCTTTGGACCAATTCCACAACAAATCAAAGCTTTTGGACCACCAGTACAACCCCAAAACTTTTTGGACCAAACATCCAATTTTTGACATACCACAGGGACCAAACTTGCAATTTTGTCGAAAAAAATAAGAAAAAAAAATACATTGTTCATTTAAATGACCATTATGTATATAAATAATTTCTCTTTTATACTATATTTATTCGAAATGAAGGACAAAATAGTCATTTTACATGAATTTAGTTCTCTAATATTTGGAAATTTGCAATAGGAAAAGATTGGAAGCCATGCATTAAAATCACTTCAAAACTTTATTATCCTTCATGGTGTATTCATTTGTAGGTGAAATTGAACGCGAAGAGTATTACACTGAAATCTTTGGTGGGCCAGATTTTTTTATTTTTTTGAAGAATCAATGAAAGGGAGTTACAAAGTATACCAATGTTATGCAAAACAAGTGTTTTGATGAAGTTCGTGATTTGTTTGAAATGCCTCATTATTATATGCTTTTGAGGAGGTTAAAAGCAAACGAGTAAACAAAAAAAATGTAAACCTTCAACAAAAGCAACACCTCTTGATGGTGGTAAAGGCAACAACTCAAACCTTAGGAATGTAAAGTGAACAAAAATGTGAGTTGATTGTTTTACTTATCGGGATATTAATTAGAAATGGGTTATTGAGTGTTAGATTTGCTTTCCATTTTCAGAGAGGTGCTTACGTAGCTGTTACAGTTTACACTGTTAAAAAGATGCTAAAATTAAATGTCACTGATAAGGTTGTACCGCTGTTACACGTGCCATTCAATTGGTTGAGGTTACTGCGCATCAACTGAAAATTACAATGAAGTTGTAGCTTCAGTCTCATCAATTTGTTAGTATCTTACTTTGTAAATTCTTCTTTTTTATTTTTTTTGATTAATTTCTATTGGTATAAATGATTTTCAAGATTAAGTGAAGGCTAATTGTAAAATGGTCGGAATTAATGCTAAAAATGCCATCGACCCGATTTACTTTGTATTACGTCAAAAAAAAAAGGCTCCCATATTTGGAATCTTCAAAACTATGAAAATTATGTGGTTTCCATGGATTTATATTTCAATCCAACCTACGTTTAGTAAATTAGGATAATGATCAATTGATATTGTGTATTAACATTACCATAAATTTTCCTTTCATTTATTTTAGGTTAACAAAGGTGGACGCAATACGAAGAGTTGAAGATTTACTAGGTGCAATATAAATGAAGGTTCGATGTAACTTAAGTGGTTGTCATAGATTTAAGCTTCAATCCAAAGAAGATTTACCAAATTAGGCTTATGATCAGTTGTCATTGTTTATTAGCTTACCGTAAACTTTTTTTTTTTTCCTTTTATTTATTTATTACTAATGAAGGTGGTCATAATCACCGGGAATCGAAGCTTTATTAGGTATTATCTCATTATCACCTCATATGTCTCTTATTCCATGACTTTTTTTACATTCTTTTTTTTTTTCCTTATTATACTTGATTCGACCCTTTACATGAGTTTGTAGTTGATTTTATTGCCAACAAACTTGCTGGTAGCTTTTTAAAGCATATTGCAACAACCCCAAATAGACTTTGTATGCGGTTTGTTTAGATTTTAATTCAACATGGTCCTTCATCATAAACCTTCCATTTTTCAAGAACGAAAACAAAATATAAAATTGTGTTCAATAGGGTTTTGTTTAACTTCACTTTTCAAAATAAAAATTATTTTAAGATTATTAGACAAAATGTCAAAAAATCACAGTGTTTATTATTTCATTTTAATTTCCATCAATACCCTTTTCATGTTTATAAATAAGGTGTAGAGAAATAGTTCATACTTTCTGTTGGTACTATTAACCATGTCTATTTACCCTTGACACTTAATATTTTCAACTATAAATACATTTAAAGTTGACATTATTTTTTATAATTATGTGTGATATTTCGAAGGCTTATATGTGTTTTTTTGCAGTTCCCACTAAAGGTGATTGAAGAAATTATTTTCAAGTTGAATGAGTTAATTAAGTGTGTTGGTAGACATACATTTATTTGAAACAGTCTGTGTAATGTTAATTAAAGTAGCCAATTTATAGGTAAACATTTTTTTTATCATTATCACTACTTTGATTAAATGAATGGTACGAATATGAGAAGCAGTCAAACAAGCTTTAAATGAAATATTATTAAGTAATTGTTTCTCTTCTATTGCATATCTTTTTAGAAAAAGAAGCCATAAAACTAAAATTTATTATGAGAAGAATGTAGTAATTTTAATTTTTTTGGTAGGTTATTTGCAAAATGATAGATGTTGTCATATGATATAAGAGGCCAAAATGGTTCATAGGAAAATGTGTGAAACTTTTTTAATAATGTTTAAAGTTTAAACAACATAATTACCGAAAATATGATGAGTTTTTTTTTGTGTAGTTTTCCTTTTTGAATATATATATATATATATATATATTGATGAGGGTAAAATGGGAATGATCTTTTTAGAGTTTGTTGAGGGAGTAAGGCAATGTGGAGCTAAAAGGATAATTGGTGTTGATGTGAAGCAAGACAAGTTTGAGATTGGTATTTTAATAAAAAAATTTAGAAAAATATAGAAAATTTTCATTTTTAACATTGATCCTTTCTTTGTTATTCACAGGAAATAAATTTGGAGTCACTAATTTTGTGAATCCGCAAAACACTAGGGACATAAATGTTCAGGTAATTTTTATACATTATAATTCATTTTAAAATTAATATCTTAAATTCTTAAATGAATTTTTTATTACATTAAAAAATATTTTTAGAGTAAGTGATAATTATGAAGCTTATGCTTCTTCTAGAAAGGTGTAATTGTTCTCCGTATTTTTATATAAGCGACATAAGATTAAATTTTCGCTGCTAGTTGATTTTTTCAACAATGAATGTAATCTTTAGTGAGGGGGAAACAATTATTCTTGGAGTTGACCAACAAGAGGCAATGTGTATTTTAAGTTCTTATGGGTTACTTCAGGGTGGAAAGTCTCTAATGGGTTACTGGAGGTACAAGAATTTTCAATTCTACTTGCCAAGCAATTCATATCATTTTATCATTAGATATGTTTTTTACTATATGGTTTGTAAAATTTTATTATTGGTTACCAAAACAAAAGTGTTTATAGCAATTTTTGTGGTCCAGATAATTCCTTTACTTTATCATCAGTGACGAGTATTATACATTTGTTTGACAGTGAAAACATTATCATCAAACTATGTTGATTCTCAAATTTGTATTTCATTTTGTAGATTATGGCTTCAATCATTAATAAAATTGGAAAGACATGGGCAATGTCATCATAGATGGTCAAACCTACGGTAATAGATTTTCAATCACTATAATTTATTCACTTTACCTACTTCTCATTGCTTTAAACATCATTGTTTCTTTTATTCATAAAATCTTCTTTCAGTAAGTTAACCTGGGCACAAAGATGAAATTTTGTGAAATCTTTTGTGATTCTAGGAAAACATCTTGAAGTGTTAATCATATACTAAAGCCTATCATTTCTGGAGAGGATTTAAGACATTTAGAACTCCAACAACTTGATCAATTAACTAAAAAAGCTACAATCGATAGTGGAATGGAATGATTCATTCAAATTCCAGTGTCATGTTTATGTGGCTGAAAATAAGAAGGCATTTTCATCTGTTACAAAATAAAAATTATTTTAAGATTATTAGACAAAATGTCAAAAAATCACGGTGTTTATTATTTCATTTTAATTTCCGTCAATACCCTTTTCATGTTTATAAATAAGGTGTCGAGAAATAGTTCATACTTTGTGTTGGTACTATTAACCATGTCTATTTACCCTTGACACTTAATATTTTTAACTATAAATACATTTAAAGTTGACATTATTTTTTATTATTATGTGTGATATTTCAAAGGCTTATATGTGTTTTTTTGCAGTTTCCACTAAAGGTGATTGAAGAAATTATTTTCAAGTTGAATGAGTTAATTAAGTGTGTTGGTAGACATACATTTATTTGAAGCAGTCTGTGTAATGTTAATTAAAGTAGGCAATTTATAGGTAAACATTTTTTTTATCATTATCACTACTTTGATTAAATGAATGGTACGAATATGAGGAGCAGTCAAACAAGCTTTAAATGAAATATTATTAAGTAATTGTTTCTGTTCTATTGCATATCTTTTTAGAAAAAGAAGCCATAAGACTAAAATTTATTATGAGAAGAATGTAGTAATTTTAATTTTTTTGGTAGGTTATTTGCAAAATGATAGATGTTGTCATATGATATAAGCGGCCAAAATGGTTAATAGGAAAATGTGTGAAACTTTTTTAATAATGTTTAAAGTTTAAACAACATAATTACCGAAAATATGATGAGTTTTTTTTTGTGTAGTTTTCCTTTTTGAATATATATATATATATATATATATATATATATATATATATATATATATATATATATATATATATTGATGAGGGTAAAATGAGAATGATCTTTTTAGAGTTTGTTGAGGGAGTAAGACAATGTGGATCTAAAAGGATAATTGGTGTTGATGTGAAGCAAGACAAGTTTGAGATTGGTATTTTAATAAAAAAATTTTAGAAAAATATAGAAAATTTTCATTTTTAACATTGATCATTTCTTTGTTATTCACAGGAAATAAATTTAGAGTCACTAATTTTGTGAATCCGCAAAACACTAGGGACAGAAATGTTCATGTAATTTTTATACATTATAATTCATTTTAAAATTAATATCTTAAATTCTTAAATGAATTTTTTATTACATTAAAAAATATTTTTAGAGTAAGTGATAATTATGAAGCTTATGCTTCTTCTAGAAAGGTGTAATTGTTCTCCATATTTTTATATAAGCGACATAAGATTTCATTTTCGCTGCTAGTTGATTTTTTCAACAATGAATGTAATCTTTAGTGAGGGGGGAAACAATTATTCTTGGAGTTGACCAACAAGAGGCAATGTGTATTTTAAGTTCTTATGGGTTACTTCAGGGTGGAAAGTCTCTAATGGGTTACTGGAGGTACAAGAATTTTCAATTCTACTTGCCAAGCAATTCATATCATTTTATCATTAGATATGTTTTTTACTATATGGTTTGTAAAATTTTATTATTGGTTACCAAAACAAAAGTGTTTATAGCAATTTTTGTGGTCCAGATAATTCCTTTACTTTATCATCAGTGACGAGTATTATACATTTGTTTGACAGTGAAAACATTATCATCAAACTATGTT